AACCCCTCAATCGGCGAAAGTTTTATAGTTAGCCCTATAATAATCAGTCGCACGTAGTATATAGTATATACGTAAGTACATGAATTATATTGTTTATGCCCTTGTATACATTTTATACAATACATGTTTATCTGGTGCAACAAAACGGAATGCAGATTTCAATTCTTACAAAAACTATTACTATACTGTGCTGTAGTTAAACGTATTGCACTTTTTATAGCATTAATTAGTTTAAAATGTTAAAACTTTTAATAAGTTTTTACGTGCTATATTTAAAAATAATTACAATTCTGTAGGTCCAGAATCGGGACTATACTGTACTATATTCACTAAATATAGTTAAATCACATGATTGTCAAATTTGTTATAAAATAAGAGTTATAAATGATAGGGTCCAGGACTTTGATACAGAAGCTATTATATTGTTAATGTTACATACGATGGCATCTGAATCAATGAATGCATTGTTGGTGTAGTAGTGAGACATTATTATAAATGAACTGTAAGGGAATGGTAGTACAGTATGTGTGAACTGTAAGGGATGTGTATGCGTTAAAATACGCTAGGATGCACCTTGCTACCAAAGTATCATTATATTAGACTACATGCCCTTAATCTGTTAGTACAGTATTTAATTAGACTTATAAATAGTTTAAAAAATATAAGAATTTTTTAGAGAGAGAGAGAGAGAGAGAGAGAGAGAGAACTTGCAAATACTAAATTTCCTTGGTATAGATTATACATATTTTTTATAAAAACTATTTATTACTAAATTAGTAATAATAAAAATTTATTATTTAATCGGAAAATATGTCTAATAATTGCCGAAATAGACGCATATAATCATATAAACACTGAATTAGTTGACAGAAAAATACATTTTTCATAAGAAAAGGGGAATTAATTTATTTGCGTTTAAAACTAAACAAAAATTTTATATTTATTTTTCTCGCAGCAAAAGACGCAAAATATTTCATATTTTATAACATTTTTGTTTTGCATTTAATGTATTTTAATTGTATTGACACAAGTGTAGGCACACATACATGCATACAATGTCTTATGCAATATACACTGTACCATACCTTTACGTATTTAAAAAACTAAATAATAATTTTTAATCATAAATAATATGGTCTTAAATAACGTAATGTTTTTTATTATAATATATTTTTATTATTCAAACACAAATCCCATTGAAATGTAAATACAAGTGTGTTTTGTTAGTGTCGTAGTGTCGGCACTACTTGTATGCATAGTATTTGATAGCAATCTCTCTCTCTCTCTCTCTCCCTCTCTCTCTCTCTCTCTATCTGCCAAAAACTACCTGTGCTTACAAGTGCCGTAGTATTAAGTCTATTAGACCTAATGACTAGCGTTTGTTTGGATTCTGGGTNTCTCTCTCTCTCTCTCTCTCTCTCTCAGCCTCATTCATGGCTCAGCCTAAGCTAACACAGAGCACCACCGAAATGGGTATACTACACACATAGGGGTATCGGTGCTGATTGTCAGGTGTAATAAAACCTGTCTTTTTTGTAGGTAAAGACAAGTGCAGTGTATATCTCATACCCTATTGTAATGGCATATAGTATGTAGTGTTGTGTGTGTTCTCTACCGATCGCACTGTAAGTGAAGTCCAAAAGAGATTTCTTGTATTAATTTTTATGCCCTTAAGTGTCGTTTATAGTGTCGGGTCGTAGTCTCGGCGGCACTTCTCTCTATCTGCCAAAAACTACCTGTGCTTACAAGTGCCGTAGTATTAAGTCTATTAGACCTAATGACTAGCGTTTGTTTGGATTCTGGGTGGCAATGGGGTGGCCCTAAAGTAAACGCATATACCAAATGTTATGATATGTACGCCGTGTACAACATGCACATAAAAAACCATTATATATGCCAAGTTCTATAAGCCAATATCTACCTGTCCCCTCATACTCCCGGTGCACATATGCACACCATTTGTTAGCTTTAGTGTTGTTCCCAAAAAACAATAGACTTAATATTGCTTTCCTTTTACATAAATAAACATAATATTTGTTTGTTTGAAGTTTTAGTATTAAATGTTTTAAATATTTAATTTGAATGAACGTCTCTCTCTCTCTCTCTATCTGCCAAAAACTACCTGTGCTTACAAGTGCCGTAGTATTAAGTCTATTAGACCTAATGACTAGCGTTTGTTTGGATTCTATTCCGATTAAATAATAAACTTTTATTATTACTAGTTTAGTAATAAATAGTTTATATTAAAAATATGTATAATCTATACCAAGGAAATTTAGTATTTGCAAGTTCTCTCTCTCTCTCTCTCTCTCTCTCGCATAACTCGTTTCTATACTCAAAAAGCTATTATACTATTATAGCCTTAATTTATTAGACAGCATACTATGTAACCCTCACAATAATGTATAAACTTTATGCCTACCAGTGCTGAACAGCTGCAGCTACGAGACACTGGCGGGAACTCCAGGTACGCCAGGCTCTGCGGTACACCACTACCCGAGTTGGACGCCCCAAGTGGTGGCTACCGGGCCCTCATCGTCACCTGACATCGAGCCCATACAGTGGCCCTCATTCGCCGGATCGCCTGATGGCCAGCCCTATCAGCCCAACATATTCTCGCTCCAAAAGGGCGCCCAACCGTTAACGCCCATCACCACTACCGCCTCGCCGACTACCGGTGCTAATAGCGCGTGGATTCACGGCTCAGACGCGGCTAATAGTCACAGTAGCGCACAGTATGCTTACCTGTCGACCGACCCCTTGGTGGTGGTATCCCATGCCTCCCAACCCTCTCATCACCATTCAAATCAAATCAATGATTAGGCTTTCAATGACTGATGAATACATTAATTGTATGCACAATAAGTATAATTCATATGAAGTACAGTATATTAATGAATATTCTGTGTCCACTATTTTATACACAGTATTATTATTATAAATATCTTTATATGTGGACCGATAAACTGATATAAAGTTAGATTTGTATTAAATAAATTTTGCCATAATTAAATAATCTTAGTAAGTTTAATGATATTTAATTCATACACGTGAATGACTACTAAATATGAGATTAAACGCATATTTCATTTTGTCGGTTCATATATTAAGTGAGAAATACATATTTTCATATCTTTTATTAGTGTGGAATTGATTTGTAAATTATTTGATGTCTATATATGAATATTCTGTTTATTTTTTGCTAATCGTTTAAAAATTATTAATTATATTTTTTTATGACAATTGAATCATTGAATAAAAACTCTTATTTAAAATCTGTTTCAAAATTAAATGTGAAATGAATTATTATTATTATGGAAAGAGTTATATAATAAAACTTTTTTCACTACTGAATGGTTGCCGCAAATTTTTGAGTGAGACAGGTCTTTAAGAGCAAGTATTTTTCCAATAAAACCGTCAATTATTTACGGAAAGTCATGTGAAATGTTAAATGGGCTGACAGTTAATGCGAAAAATGTGGCCATAATTTAGGAAAATTTAATTTGAAAACCATTTAAACACTTATAGACAGCAATATAGACAACAATAAAGACAACTATTTTTACGCTGAATATTGACTGCCGTATTAAAAACGGCATTATTTTTGCCATACGTTTAGACGAGTTGTTTTTGTGCGAGTTTTTCCCCTTTACTATAACCAGAGTATAATGTTTTTAATAAGACTTTTAAGACTAACTTATAAATTGTGTAAAGGTCTTAAGCTGCTTAATTTTATATTAACTTGTAAGTATCAAATTAATAACTAAAGTCTTAATATTTTATTAATACTGTTATTTAAATACAAAATCTTAATGAATATTGAGCCTGGCTATATTTTAAAAGCATGTATATATATTAAGGTTTTTATGATTAGTTAATTATAACTAGATTAGTTACAATATCGTTTTTATTATGAAATAGACTGTACTAGTACTACAAATGAAACTGCATAAAATTAGTTATATATTTGTAAAATTAATTAAATTTAAAGATTTTGAATTTAATTACAAATTTTTATTATAAATTAAGAAAAATTAACTTTCAATTATGTGGTTCATTATCATGATTAGTGATGACGAGCATAATAAAAATTGTAAATAATTATACTAAAAACTAATGTTTTCATTTAATTTATAGTATTTGTGAAAGTATGCAGTAATATTTTTAAATAGTTTTTTAAATTAAATAATAATAATAATAATAACTTACTACACTACTGTATAATAACTTTAATTAATTATTACAATTAATTATTTATTTATAAAATATGTTTTCTTTATTGATAAGTTTTTTTTATTTACAGAATTGAAATCAAATTAATTTATATACAATTATTAGATTTATTTGGGAATTTATTAACATTTAATGGAAATATACTTATGATTTATAAATATATCGTTAAATATAAATTCAGACATAAATAAAACTGTAAATCATAACTAATACGAGGAGAGAGTGAGAGAGAGAGAGTGAGAGAGAGAGAGAGAGAGCGAGAGAGAGAGAGAGAGAGAGAGATACGAATTTAGTTGTGATTTATATAATCCACGGATCAGTTCTTCGACAATAAGCCTCCGATCCTTAACTTTATGTCTCATATCCGGTGCTTAACCAACTCATTGAGCACTGGTATATAAATTGCTCATATAGTCGTTTCCCTAATTAAATAAATAAAATTATTTGATTAATAAAACGATAAAATAAAGGCTAATGTTTAAACGTAAGAATAAATTAATTACAGTTTTTAATCATGCAATTAACTGTGTTAAATTTTTAAATTTAATAAACAACTTTTATAAGTATTGTAGTTTATAAAAGTTTTATATTAAATTCCCTTGTTTCTAATTTATGACCTTTATATAAATTAAACTTTAATAAACTAAAACTATTCCGGTTATTCAGTGCGAGAATACGCTATATTGTGTGAAAATATTTATATAATACTAATCATAAAGTTATGAATAATTAAAACAATACACGGTATACCCTGTATTATAAAATAACATTCATGGAATTGTTCAATAAGCAGGTACAGTTTGTAAAAATGTTTGATTAAATAAATGACCCGTCTCAAAAACTGTCAAATCATATCTACCTCTATCTACACACACGTACGTACTTATTGAACCCCCCATACGAGTGCTTACAGTCGATGATTATTATCACTGAGATGTGCCGAGTTGGATGAGCCGATGGAGTTCCATAGGGCGGCACCGGGAGGGCCCGTGTGGTGGTTGGCAGCGAAGAACGGCATCATTGGTGGGCCCGGACTGGGGTCTGAGCGGTCAGGGCTGGCAATGTTGCCGATGGACGGCGCCGGTGGTGGCGATGAGGCGTACGACGACTCTGTCGGACTACAACAGCAACAGCAGCAGCACATGGAGCTCAGGCACCGGCAGCCCTGGTTATCATCGCTATTATTATCATCGCTATTGCGGCCGTCCCTGCCTTTAAGTGCCGGCGCGATGGGTGAGGGCGACGACGGTCGAGGTGTAGGCGCGTGCGATATGTGGTATACATATGGTGTAAGTGTGTTATTTGAGTGGACAGGGATGTGATTGTATGTGATATTAGTTTCACACATATGTGTGTAGACATGGAATTGAATTGAATTTTTCAAGCTTTGAGTCAAAAGTAGTTTTTAAAAGTTTTTTAAGTATTATTTTAATTGTATTTATAATATAGTTGTAGTAATAATGGTACTAATTGTCAGAATATTCTTAATGTTTTTTCATTTCTTATAGTAATTGACTGTTTGATTAGGTTTTTGTGTTGTATTTAGTGATGTTTTTGTCAATTCATACCAGAATGTCCTCGACTATAGACCATAAATAGTATGGGATTTACAAAACAATGGGTGAGCGCCACGTGTAAACTGATCTCATAGGTCAGGGATGTCTCCAAACCTGGACAGGGATCATGAATAAATGTATGTTTATTTATTATGGCATTAATAATTCATATGAAAACTTATTTCTTGTATTTACTTAATATTGTATTAAGAATTATAGGCAATAATACTCTTACGGATCGTAAACCCCTTATTAAATGAAACCTAATATTAATTGCATTTATTTGAGGCCTCATTGGGGATTGGGTTCAGTCACTCATATTTGGATCGATAACACCAAATACCAAATAATTTTTTATATTTATTTATAAAAATTAATTATTACTTATAAACTGAACATTGAGTTTTAAAGTAATATGCAGTTTACTAACTGCTAACTTCATAATACTTTTAAACAGTGATTGTGTCTAATACGGATAGACAATTAGAAGGGAAAGGGATCTAAATGGCAAACAACATGCAAATACCATACATACCCGGCCGGATCAAAGTGATGGTATAGAGCGGACCCCAAAACAGCAAATATGCCACAAGTATGACGACAAACATCTTAACCCTACCGACGCCTTCGCTCTCCATTCTGTGCACGTAGTCGTAGAAACCTCGCTGACCCTCCAGTTCCCCCCTATCGCCCGACTGGACGGTCATCATCGTCGTCACGAGACTACTGACCCGCACGGCCTCCAGATTAGACTTCGCGATGTCTTTGTATAGTTTGCGCAAATGGACGGCCATTAGGCCGACGCACATCATGTTCACGGATATCCACAATAGGTTGAGTACGTAGTGTCGCACCGGGCGGTACACCATTGGGCACACGTCGAGATGGCCGGCCGTCTCGTGGCCCGAGGCCAGTGCGCCGGACAGGAAGGTGGGCCCCAGGTTTATGGTGAGGGAGGCAAACCATATGATGAATATACCGAATATTATACAGTAGGGCGAGTCGTCCGACCTCATGGCCCGGTTGTTATTAGCGCCGTTACTGTCCATCCAATACAGTTCCCGCTATGGGATAGGGTGGTAGGGATAGGGATGTAAGATGCAAGTTATTAGTATAGATGGTTTTTAGGTTTTTAAAAAATGCCCTGTCTAATTTATTTATTATGTATTTTAATATAAAATATAATTAACATTTTTGCTATTAATTAAAATTTTGAGCTAGTACAAAATTACATACAGAATTATACGATTGGCAATTATTTTAGCCATCAGAATAATGCTGTACATATAGTTTATTATAGCGAACTCTATTATGTAGAAATAAAGTATAGTTTAAAAGTATAATATTTAAAATTATATAAAAATAAAATTTATTTTACATAATAATAAAAGTGTATATTTGTTAACATTATAACATTTATTAAAAAACACTTAACATGTGTTTGATAAAATTTATTAGACAATATTATTTCAGAATAATTTATTTCTTACTTATCTTTTTCATGATTTTTATTATTACATGAATTTAAATGTCATTTTATGTAAAATTATTATTATTATCTGTACAGACATTTAGCGGAATAATTATTTTTCGTGAAAAGGATTATAATGTCTAGTCTAAGAATATTTTAATATATAAAATATCATTCACTTTACCGGTTCAGTGTCTCTCCCATATTAAATACCAGTCCCTTTGTCGCTATATTTTGTATTGTGACACAAAAAAGCAATTTTTTCATATCTCTCTTAAGAGAATATTCTGTGTGTTTATGTCACAGAATTCTTGAACACATTTTTCACATTGTTTTTAGCGTGAAATAACAAACAAAATCCATAGAAAAATAACAAAAATATATCACAAAAACAAATAGCAATTCAATACCGAATATATTCTTAAGAGAATATATTTTCAATTTGTTATAAGAATATCATATGTAATGCCGTATAATATATAAGGGATGACCAAATACTGTATATGGAATTCCTTTTTTAAATGTCAAAAGGTATGTCTACTGTAGTGCACGTAAGTCCACGAAAATTATTCAACATTTTTAATGCGATTATTATGTGTTTTGTTTGCGAGAATTTGCGGATATTTTGGAGATTGGCTTCAATGATAAGAGCTTAACCTTCGGCTCATTTCCTGATAAGAAACGGAAATTAAATCCCATTTCCATATATAAGCGTAAAAATGATATTTGACTTACAATTTAATTAATGGGAAGACGAGAGTGAGTGAGTGAGTGAGACCAGATAAAAATACTAATACATAAATATACTAGGGCATACTCTTAAAAATAATATTCTATAGCTATTCATATAAATGCTATTCTCTTATCGCAAATATATTGTGTGCAGTCTTTTCGGT